GCTTAAAGGCGAAACGCAGAGCTTGGCGCTCCTTGGAAGCAGAAAGAACAACACGCAACAAGGGGGGCGATATACAGACTTGTCAGCCGGCAAGTTACCGGGTCTGGTAAATTTTCGCACAGCCACGCAGGGAAAGCCTGGTGGCAGGAGTTTGGTAACGCATATTCGGAATCACTGAAGGTCAGCTAGCATACGCTCTTTTAGAATAACAGCAGATGACGCTGTGGCATTCCTAAAAAAACACTGAAGTCAATATACGAATCTCCGCGACGCGGTATTTACTGAACGCTCCGTGGATGTTGTCGGTCTTGGTTTAATGTCCGGTTTTATAGACTTTAACGTCGTACACGACCTCACCTGCAATGAGATAGCAGTAGTATAAATTGAGGGGAACGGGAATGGGCACCCGATGAACCTCCTACGTCCGCCTCGGGTTTTGACTTTTTAACCGTCTTCCGCTTTCCTTTAACGAGGGCAGAAGCCCGCTTGTCTCTCTCGCTAACAGAGGAACCAAGCATGCTATCTGAGGGTTCGATCCTATCATCATCATCATCATCAACAGCAGTACATCAGCCATTTGAACTGATGCTTCGATGCCATACAACCATGAGGACCTATGAAATAAAGAATAAGAAGAGGGAGAGAAGGGGGACTTACCTGAAAACCTTAATGCCCTAAGCAAACATTCAGGGTCAAGGCGCCTACACCTTGTGTAGACAACATACCGTCACAAACAGCTGGCTATCGTGCAAAGATAAGGCGGCATCGGCGAGACAGCTTCCTTGCGGCTTTCACTGCCACGCGTCATAATCAGCCATTACCCCGCAGATAACTCAGCACCAAACACACTTTAAACAGGCAATCCGATTAGGAGACGGCAGCAGACGCGCCACTGGTGTCTACTGCGAGCCATGTCCTGTAAAGTCTCGAGCCAAGCACAAGGCGAGTCACGTGGACTCCAGCCCGGAAGGCGAGACGGACCAACGGCACCCAGTTTGGTCGTCAGTGACTTCATTTCCCGCTGCCAAGTCAACTTCTGTCCACCTCGAGCCTTGCGCCACCCTACACCTGGCAGACTAAACAAGGCCCACCTAGGTAAGCGGTGACCAGACATACGTAGCACGTGCCCGAGCCAACGCAACTTATTCAGTGCTATCTGTTGTTCTAGGGAGCTAGCATGATTATCACCACCTAGTACTCGCCTACGCATATCATCGTTGCGGACACGCTAGTGCCATCCGACTCCAGCAATGCTTCGCAGACAACGATGATCAAAGACTTGAAGGCGCCTCAGATCTTCAGACCGAAGGGGCCAAGTCTCACTACCATCGAGCAGAACGGCCCTCACTGTGGCCTTGTATACACGGCCTTTCAGATGGAGGGAAACTCCCTTTTGTCACCAAAGATGCCGCAGGTTCAAGAAGGTAGCTCTGGCTTTTGCAATGCGTGAGCTGACGTCAGTTTCTATGCGCCCATCATTGCTGATGCAGCTGCCAAGATAAGTGAAATGATCAACCACCTCGAATTCCTCGTTAGCAAGCGTCAAGGGGTCATCAAGTGGCTGGTGGTCCTGCAGCAACACTTTACACTTTGAAGGTGCGAAGTGCATACCAAATAATGGGACCACTCTGGACAGGCTATTCAGGGTTGATTGGGCCGCCCCAACATTGTCGAAAAGCAAGACGATATCGTCCGCATAATCTAGATCAACTAACCTTTCACCAGGCAGCACTTCAACGCCTACATCGTGAGATTCCGCAAGGAAACACTCCATGATAGAATCCACGACGAAATTGAACAAAAATGGGGAAATCGGACAACCCTGACGAACGCCACTTGTGGTCGGAAAGCTATCCGATAGGCCACCGTAGACCCTGACGCGGCCTGTAGTGTTCGAGTATAGAGCACGAAGGATGTTCACATATTTCGTGGGAACACCTTTCCGCGCAAGTATTTCGAACAGAATCGATCGATCGACTGAATCGAACGCACTCTTGAAATCGAGGAACACAGCTATTGTCGGTCTGCGGTATGCGTGGCGCTGCTCTAGCACCTGCCGCAAAGTGAATATATGGTCTATACAGCCACGTCCTGGGCGGAAACCGGCCTGCTCTTCCCTAATCCGAGATTCCCGTTCCGCAGTGAGGCGACGAACGAGAATCGAGGCCAGTAATTTTGTCACAACTGGCGTTAGGCTAATACCCCTGTGGTTAGAACAGTCTGTGCGACTGCCCTTCTTGTATATTGCCACTATAATCGATTCGCTCCAATTAGCCGGACACTTCCTTCCAGATACGTTCGAATAGGGAGGTCAGTGCTTTGCGGAGGACCTCACCTCCATCCTTAAATATTGCAGGTGGGAGGGAATCCGGGCCAGCGGCACGAAAACGATTGAGGGCTGTGATCGCGTTTCGGACCTCGGCCTCCGACGGAGGCTCTAAACTAACCGTCCATGGCTCATCCTGCATCACCTGAGTAGGAAGAGGTCCGGGAGCAGGGGGCCAGCTGAACTGATCTTGAAAGTGTTCCGCCCAACGAGCCATACGGCGCTCCTTATTGTGTATCAGCGCACCCGCGCTGTCTCTGATTGTCTCACTGACGCCTGGTTTTCTGGGACCAGTGGTGCGGATTAGCTGGAAGAGCTTGCGGTAATTGCCTACTGCTCCTGCCTCCTCCATTTCTTGAGCCCGACTGGTCCACCAGGCTTCCTTGTCAGCACGTAGGCTCTGCTTTAGTTCACGCCTAATAGCCCGTCTGGTCACATTGTGTTCAGAGCCAGCCGGGAGGTGTCTTCTAGATTCCAACAGGTTCACCGACCTCTCGGATATCCAGTGACTGGTGCGGTGACGATGGATAGTGCCACAAGCAGCTGCTCCTGCGTCGTGCATGGTGGCCGAGATCCTATTCCACTGAAGCTCAGTGTCATTAGGACAAGACAGCGGAAGTTCGGTATGCAGTGCGTCTTGATAGGCTTGCTTGACCGAGGGCTGAGACAATTTCTCAGTTGCCAATCGGGGGAGACGCTTTGTGCGCCTTCCGGTAAAGTTCATGGAGAAACGACAGCGCACCAAGGCATGATCAGAGTCGACACAGGTACTCCAGTACGAGCGGCAATCCAGGATGGAACCACGCCACCTGTAACTTATGGCTATGTGGTCAATTTGTGTCCATCGCTGGCCAGCTACAGGAGGACGCCAAGTGGCACTTCGGCGCCCACTGTGTCTAAAAGCGGTGCTATTAAGAAACAACTGGTGCTCCGCACACAGTTGCAGCAGACGCTCACCGTTGTCAGTCCGTTCGGAGTTAAGTCCACAATTACCACCCAACTGAGCTTCTGAAGAGCTCAGACGCCCTACTTGTGCGTTCATATCCCCTGCAAGTACTATAATATCTGAACTAGTAGCACTGCGTAGTAGTGCGTTCAGTTCGTGATAGAATGTGTCCTTGACAGCATTAGAACTGCAGTCGGTGGGAGCATAAGCAGAAATCACAAACAGCGTTTTGTACTACTTCGTGAATCAACCTTAGCTGATGTCGTCAAACGAGCTGCACATAAACGGCTGTTCACCGGAATCCAATCAACCAACGATGGCTCAGCCTTGGAGCTTAGAATGATACCTACACCAGCTTGACCCGTGAGTGCTGCATCGGCGTCTCCAGATGCGTGCAACCAATAACGAGAGGATAAGCCGGGTGCAGTCAATTCAATAACCCCGTTAAGGTCATTGATCCTAGTTTCGGACACACAACACATATCAATACCCAGTGTGTCCAAGGTGCGTGCGAGTGCAGCCTGTTGACCTGTTTGTCTTAGAGTGCGAACGTTGAATGTCGCCATGGAAACGGGATAGCGTGGCCTTATGCAGGACTTCTGCCGATATGCGTCCGATGGGTGCGGTGGGATGGTGGCTGCAGATGGTTCTACTCCAGTGGCACTTCGGTTGCTGTCAATCAAGCTGGGAATTATAGAAGAAAGGTTAGTAATGGGGGTCGGGATGGGAGTAAGAGAAAAAGGTGGAAAAGAAAGAAGGGAGGCGCCAGCAGTAGCATGTTTCCCCTTATCCGCCATGCTGTATGCAGCAGATAAGGCGACCCTTGATAATCTGCACGACGGCCGATGCAGGATGAAGTTTATGTTTGAAGAAAATATCGTGGTTGTATGTGGGCTAAGATACTGCCAGGGCGCCCAGACCTAGACAGGAGGAGGATTAGGGTCCTCATCCAAAGCCTTTGGCTCAAAAGCATGTCCGCAAGGCAGCGGGGAGGTGGCAATGATTTAGTTTTACAGAAATGGACGCCATCGCATTTCAAACCCCCAACCTGGAGGACCAGGAGACTGAGTTTGTCTGACCTCTCACCATTGACCAACCTGGTAGGAGTAGCTCACAAGGTGCCCGGAGGCATCACCCAGTATAGCTCAATGGGTCAATGCGGTACGCTAACCGTCACACCACGTTAAGGTCCAGTCTCGTTGCAACGATCCTAAGTGTCGTTACTAAGTGGTGTACTGACAGGAGAAGAGCTGAGCGGTCCAGACACTTCATAATTCAATCAACTCTCCTGTCTAATGAACAAACCAAACACCAGGCTTTCCAGAGAAAAAGGCTGCTCTTTACTGGCGTGTAACGCTCAGTCATATACACACAGCAGTCACCACAACTGTATAGAATGCTCTCGCTACTAGCCATAAGGGCATACTGCATCGGATAAAAGCCAGCAGTCCTCATGGAACCAAAGAGTACAGATATCACATTGCATGCCCCGGGACGAGTCTGTAAAAGCTTCGAGACACCCCGCTTTGCCACATATAACCAATGAGTCGTCGGAAGGAGGACACGACAAGTTTGGACAGTACCCGACCACCATCTTGACAGAAAAGTCAAAAAATGAAGAGATAAGCAACAGAGCTGTGAACAGGATTACGGTGACCAGCTGTGCAATCAACGAAAGCACCAGTCGGAAATACCAAGTGTGATACGTATGTATTGAAATGGACTCACCAAATGATAACAGGCGTCAAAGTCGCAGTGAACTTCAAGGATGTGGCAACAGGTACTTTTTAAGAGCAGAGGCACCAAGACCAGGAATACCGAAGATCCACTGACAAGTACAAATGTAATGAGCAAATCACAAGGAGCAATGCAAGTAAATCCACCTTTGCCAATTGAATAACGGCGCGCAAGCGGCGAGCGGTAGGGAGCGTTTGATTGCACAACGTCGAAAAGTGTCCGCCTTGATGACAGCGATACAACAGGCGTGTTGCTGCAAAAACAAAATCACCTGGTCAGGTCAGGTCAGGTTCGCAGAACGGTATGGGCTTCCGCCTAACGGGTGTCCTGCTTCTTGCACCGGCAAGCAACCAAGGGCTACCGGTACTTCGACATCCAATTGCGTTTCTTGCTTCTGCAAAGAAAACGACGCAAAAAGAAACAATCTTGCACTTTCGTCCTTCATGAGTTCTCTGCAACGAGCAGAAATAAGTTTACAATATTTTTGGAAAATGTTCTAATCAACATCTGTCTAGACCTCACTTGAAAAAGTCAACCGTTGCACAATTCATCAACGAAGGGAAAGCTTGTTGCAACTGCCGACAACGTGGTCCGCAAAGTATTCCCCCCTGATACCTAGTCGAGAGCGCCGAGGCTTGAGCTTACTATGGTAGCGCAATCATAGCAGTAAACGTATCATTATGCATTTTTCGATTCATGAAATAACCATTTAACACTGCATTCTTCTGGTTTTTGGAGTTCCTGAGACAGGTAGTCAACTAGGTTTATTTGCAGATATGTGTGTCATCTGTACGTCATCTGTCTGACCATGCCGATCATCTCGGTCTCGCCCACTACGCCAATGCGGCCACTGAACACCTGCTCCATCTGCACTCAGCGTGTAGGACCTCGTTCCAAAGCCATCACCTGCTCGATCTGTCTTCACCGTGTTCACGCTCCGTGTGACAATCCGCTCCATGCAACTGACATCGAATTCTGTCGCTCGCATTCACAGTATGTATGTATGTATGCAATCTCAGCGGTCTAGTAACTAGACATGGAGCCAATAAAAACCATGGAAATCAGTGGATAGGAGAGTCATTGCGTTATAATCATCGTGGCATGTTAGTTGAAGGTGGGCAACACACTTCAGCTAATATGCCGCAAGAAAATGGAATATTTTGACAAAAATACAGAACAAAACATTTTTAGTTTGTTTGTCACACGCCGAATTTTCTCTTTTTTTGTCATTTTCAATGTTGGTAGTATTAAACATGTGAATCAATGCAACACTGTACACAATTCTTCCACTGATTCCGGTTGCGGGCCATGTCTTCAAGAGTCCTAAGCCATTGGCACTCCTCATCTTTGGGTCCCCATCCTGGAAGACGTACGGGTCCAACAGCGGCTAGACGCGACGTCAGCGATTTCATGTGCTGCCGCCAAGTGGAAGGCTGACCACCACGCGGTCGCTTCCAGCCAGGTCCTTGACGAGCGAATAGAGCGCGACGCGGTAGACGCTCAGGTGCCATGCGTAGGACATGACCGAGCCATCTTAACTGGCGCAACAAAACCAGTTTGTTGAAGGAAATACTTGCATTCCCCAAGATGCGACGTCGAACGTCATTACTGGTAACTCGATGTTGCCACCGAACACGGTCCTGCGGTACATTTGCCTGGTTTGCATTCCCAGGATTGCGAATTACGTGCGGGATATTCCTTGCGACCTTTCCTCCACGACTTGCCCTATGCTTGGTTTTGTAATCTCGTCTCGCACCAACCCGCCCTCCACACCGTGTAACAAGCAGTCGTAGACGCAGTCGCCCTGATCACCACGATTCGTGGGGCCGCCTAGCAACAATACCTGCTCAGAAGTGCGCTTGCTTAGTCTGGAAGAACAGCTACAGAGTCTACTGCGGAAAGTCGACGGTCTAGCCAAACGACGACAGCAACCTCCCAACCGTTCTGAATCACGTACCGTCTCACCGTTACCAACTGCTGGTCTGCCCAACACTTGCCGACGACCAACGCTTCCGACGGAGGCCCTCCCACCAAGTAAGCTTGCTACCGCTCCACATCCGCGTTCTTCTAAGCGAATAAGGAGTAGCCCTACTTCTAATTCTGTCATATGTACAAACGTGCCCGAGTCCAACGACCCGCAACTTCAGAATCGACATTCTCATGATTCCACTATGTGGAGGTCAATCTGTACCGCGTTAAACCTCCCTGAAACAAAACGCATTAGTCACACAAGACTGACTCGCCACGCTTCATCTCCGAGCGCCGGTAAGCCAAGACTTCTGCGTGTTGACTTGCAGCCAGGCCCGACTATGGAGGATGTCCTGTTGTCAGCACACCTACTCCGAAACAATGCGTCTCTCGGCATTTACCAAATCCGTATCTTCGCCGACATCCCTTGGACTAAGCGCGCTGCGCGCAGACAGCAACTGACGCCACCCACTCAACCATGCTCCATCATAGTGCATGGCGCCCCAGAACTGCATGCCCTTGACGCAACCTTACAACAACGACAACAGCATGACTGTAATCAATGGCGGTTCCTTCAGCAGACACTGAATATTGTCAACGTAATCACAACGAACGTTCACCGCCTATCTCGTCCAGCAAGTTATACAAGAACAACCCCCCATCTCCTGAAAGTGACATTCCTCACCGCTAGCATGGCAACCGATGACCTCACCATCGGGTATGCTAATAAAAGACGAGCACCACCAGATATCCGTCTGCGTCCTGATGGGCACCCGGTGCCGAGGCGCACAGCTTCCCACAGACCTATAGCAGCAGCCAACTCGGTACCGACACACTGACCAAATCGTCCTCAGACGGTCCATCACCGAACCATCTGCCTCACTGCCTGGAGTAATTTACGCACCTACACATTCCAACCTACAGTCTTTCAACGACCCAGCCGCCAGCACCCATCTGTGCTCCGACGACCCACACCTTGCTTCCCCAATTACAAACCTTAACGGCTCCACCCCTCTTAACCAAAAAAACGGTGCACTGCCGGTCATCTGCTGACCGGCAGCACCCTAGTTACTCCCGCGCTCATCACTCAAACGGGCCTCACCTGTATCTACACGAACGCACAGGGCTTCATGTCCAAACTTCCGGAGCTCCAATCCCGACTTCTGTCAACACCAGCGGACCTAATAGCCATAACGGAAACGTGGCTCTCCGGCGACATAACCGACGGTGAAATCCAGCTTCTTCACATGTCAGTTCTCCGCTCTGACCGCGCAACCCCAGATGGCGGTGTTGCACTGTACTATGACATCTCCCTCAGTTGCAACATGTTAACAAACACTGCCCTCCAGTCCCCAGACACCATGCGGTGCGAGGTCGTACTAACCGCCAAACACTCCAGCTGTCTTGGTATCATTTACCGCCCCCCAAACAACTCTCCCGAGAAGGACGCATGACTACAGCACGACGTCCACCTTATGTTATCCCACAAGCACACACACTTTCTTATCATGGGTGATTTCAACCTGCCCCGTCTATTTCACTCTGTCCCGTCTACTAACTCCTTTGCATCAGGCCTCATTGATCTTCTTCATACGGCCCCGTTGTACAACCACAGGTATCAGCCGACCAGATTCCGATCTAACAACCAACCATCCCTACTAGATCTCGTCCTCACTAACGAAGAACTGATGGTTGAGCACCTTGAGTATGATGTCCTTTTGGGGCTTAGCGACCACTGCGTCCTCCGTTTCGACTTTATATGCTTCGCCAAAAAAATCATCAGCACGCCAACTTATACCAAACGCTGGACTGATTACGGAAAGTTGAACCTTCTCATTTCCGCTAACAACTGGTCACCCGAACCCCAATCGAGTGCCGACAGCGTGTGGTCAAGCTTTTGCCTTACCCTACGTGAACTCTGCTCCACTACGACGACGTGCAAAGAAGTTTCCATAGGGAAGAGACGCCCAGCACTCATCCGAAGTCGTACACGGAAATGGACTGCCTCCAGGAACACGGCATGGAGAAACTATCGCCCCCATCCAACGGCCACTTAGTAGGAATATTACCGATCCATCCGCCACCAATGCGTCCAGCTTGCACGAGAAGAAGAGTGAGCATCAGCGTCAGCTTATGCGTAAATTTTCATCCAATTCCAAAGCCTTGTATAGTCAGGTCAACAGTCTTAGACAAGTCAAGCACGGTATCACCGCATTGACGACCTACACAGGGCTCACGAAATCAGCTAACGAGGCAGCAGAAGTCCTGTGCCAGCAGTACGCATCCACACTCTCCGTCCCATCAGTGCACACAACGACGGTACCTTCTTCGGTTTCACCCTCAACTTCCCTGACGACTGTTCATTTCACTCCGGAGAAGGTCCTGGCGAAACTCAAATCCCTGCGGCTAACGGCCTCTCCTGGCGCTGATGGGTTCCACCCAAGGCTCTTGCGAGCGTGCGCTGCAGCTCTAGCTTTACCCCTAGCGGAGCTGTTTACCCACTTCTTCTCGCAAGGCAAAGTTCCCAATGATTGGAAATGTGGGACTATTACACTAATCTACAAAGGCGGTACTTGCAAAGATCCGGCCAATTACCGACCGATAACTCTCCTCACTACGATCTCCAAAGTGATGGAATCGATCGGCGCAGACGCTTTAATGGACTACATGGAGGCCCAGAAACTGCTCTCTGATTGTCAACACGGATTCCGGCGTCAACGGTCATGCCTGAGTAACCTGCTACTTGCCAGGGACAGCTGGACGACTGCTGCCGATTCTGGCCTAGAAACGCATGTTATATTCCTGGATATCGCCAAAGCCTTCGACAACGTCGACCACGAGATTCTACTGCAGAAACTGTTGTCTTACGGCGTTTCAGGGGCCTTGATGGACTGGATCCGGAACTACCTTCAAAACCTTACCTTCCAAGTATGCGTCGACGGAGCGTTGTCTCCCCGCATCCTTGCCACAAGCGGAGTTCCACAGGGGTCTGTTCTCGGACCGCACCTCTTCCTAGCCTTCAGTGACGACGTCAAACCGCAAGTGGAGTCTTCGCTGCTACTATACGCGTATGACGTGAAGCTGTGGCGCACAATTAACCTTCCGAACGATGCCCACGCACTTCAGATGGACCTCGACCGTCTACATCAGTGGTCCATAGAAAACAACCTTCCATTTAACACTTCGAAATGTCGCGTCCTTTCTACCCGCCCTTCCGCTTTTTCTCCTATATATCACCTGGGAGCGTCTATCCACCAGATCTCTTCAGCCGAAAGAGACTTGGGTATCTACCCAGACGAGTCTTTCCGTATCCGCTTCCTTCCGGAAAGCAGCTGCTTCTGCTAACCGCATGGTGGGATTGCTGAAACGAGCCTTCG